TATATATATATATATATATGTATGTATGTATGTCTATGTGATATATAATGTAATTGTATAATAATTATGTGTGCTCAGCAGATATCTTAATTTTTGTTTTTGTAGAATGAAGATTTTCAATAAGCTTCTTCGTACTTGTTTTTTTCTAAAATTGCGTACCGACTCAAATGTCGATCAATAGAGAGAATGAGAAATCGAATGATTCTGATCTATAATTACGAGAATTAATATTCTACTCTTGCTCTGCTTGATATATAACATTTTAAAAAAAGATATACAAAAGAGAATACTGTTAATGAATATTTATTTTTCAGAACGAATACATAACAGAGCTGAAGGTCTTGATATGAAACTATAATAGCATAGGCCTACGACATTAGACTTGCATACGCCGTAAAACATTTAAAACATTTCCTTACGCACGAGTGAATTTGAACGACCCGCGTAAATACAACCCTGCGAGGTATTTCCGAGTGTTTATGCATTATAAATTGTGTTTAACTTCGTGATCTCGTTACTGTATAAATCATTGCAAGACGATAATAGTATCGCGCGTCTCGCGTTGATTAGATCTTTAGGAAATGCCAGATTTTGCGAAACGAAATTGATTAAAATTAACGAAGCTAATTGTAGCAAAATGCTATGATCAAGCTACAGCAGGACTGATAGCTCGGAATATCGCTTTTTTTAAATATATTTCAATATAAGAATAATTAAAAGAATGTTACATAAACATACATCATTTGACATGTACGTAATATATGCGATGAGATTTTAAACCTATAATGTGATCAAGTATATATATCTTTACAAGCTGTAAGAAAATTCATTGCATCTGCGATGCAATGAATTTTTTGAATGAATAATTCGCATAAAGTAAATGTCAAGCGTGATAGCGGAATGTATTTACAAATTTAATTTATATTGACGTGCGTTGCTCGGAAAATTCAGGAACACAAAGCAGAAAGTAAAAGATTATAGGCGAAATTTCGATCTTATAAAAATAATACATAATATACATATAATTAATAGAAACGAAAAAGTATAATATATAATGTATAACATTAATAAATTATTTTTTAAATTAAATTTATCATATTGCATTATGTACAGCAAATAATAAAAATAATCATTTAATAAAAAAAAGATTACATTTAACATTTCAAATGTTGACAGTAAAACATGGAAAAATTCTTTCAGAATTCTCGGGATTCAAACTTTATTCTCATTTGCGGAACAAATCTATCAATAATAACTATGCGTAATATACAAATTTAGTTACATAGTAATCATAAATTCTACAAAATGTTTCTTTAACATGCTAACAAACACAGTGATGAATGCAAAGTAAATTTATAAAATCGGTTAAGCACCACAATTGTCACAGCTTCTTCAAAGTTGCTTTTGCAAAATGAATCAGAATCACAATTGAATCAACAATTGTTTAAATGTGTTCCTAAATTTTCTGACGAGCGTACAGAGAATTCAATTATACTACTCCGCATTGATGCATATTAAAAACTGTACGCGAGATTATCCAAATACAAAGCTAAATTTGACTGATGAAATATATATTCTATCTAAATATATACTTGGTATTTTTCATTGATTAACATTAATATTAGTATAATGTTAATATTTTAGTAATAATATTAATATTAATATTAGTATTAACATCAATATTATTATATAGAAAGCACCAATGGAAGTTTCAAGAATATTATTAGTTTCTAATTACTAATAATAGTTTTAAGTATAATGCAGTCTTTAGTATATCAGTGCGAAGTAGAGTCGAATTCGTCACTAGGTTCATCAGAAATCTGCTATTTGAATCATTTCACAACTGTCCGTTCTGTATCTATTTTCTTCTTATCTATTTTCGGATCGCTAATATATGTGTTTAATTATCTTCGATATATTTTACTTAACAGATAAAGACAGAAGAATGTTGTAACATGGTCTATGTAAAATTAAGGTTCTGTGGTATAAATTGATATCAAAATCCTGAAGCAAACGATACATTTTTAAAAATAGCGCATGAGTTACATCTATAAACGGCACTTACAATTGTATCAGTTTTATTTCGTAGTCCGACTTGAGTATCACTATTACGAGAATGTTCGAAATGTTTGATAAAAGCTAATGACCATTCACAGGTAAAGTTTGTTGCTTTTATTTTCACGGATTCAAACTCAAGTAATATTTTGTCTTTATGACGGATCGTAGAGATCGGTTTCCTGTTGCAAAGAATCGATCTCATTATCATAGTAACTGTCGGAATCTTTGAAATCAGGAACTACAACAATATCGATAGCGTCCCCCTTCAATTCGTAAGCATCGTCTTCCATCTCCTCTTCCACTTTTACATTCCCCACATTGTGATCCTCGGTGAGATGCGTAAGAAGAGCGGGTAAGGCGTAAAATATTTTGTCACATAAATTGCATTGAAACGTTTTACCATCGACCGCGCGTAAACAATGCATGTAATCTTTCATGGGCTGATAAACTTTTCTATGTAGGGCCATATGTTTCTCATGGTCCATAGAGAGAATAAATTCGTAAGAACAGATAGGACACTTCAGGTTGTGTTTTGTCCACATTGTGTGTATCTTCAGTCGATGGAGACTCTCGTAGACCTCGCCACAAATGGGACACTTGAGGCATATGTGATTTTCCAGGGTCTCCGTGTTCTCGTACATACCGCTACATTCGTTGCACTGATACGACTTTTGTTTCTTGCAAGTATGCTTGGACCAGTGTTTTTCCAGCTGAGCCAAGAGGTCGAATACCAATTCGCAAACCGTACAGACAAACATTCCATGATGATCGCGTTTCAAGCCGCATTCCAATATGCTGATCGAGCACTGATAGTGCTTTTCATAGTTATCCTTGCGCAACAAGCTCTCGTTGCAGGACTCGCATTGGTTTTGATGTTTGGTCAAGTGAGCAAATAACATTCCGGGCTCAGCGTTCGAATAATTACAAAAATTACACATGTAACTCTCCGCCGTCATATGCAAGTGCGAGAGCAAGTGCCTCTGATACGTATTTGGACTGAAGAACGTCGCGCCGCATGCGGGACATTTCAAATAAGGTCTCTTCTTATCTGTATAATGCAGGGAAAGAGGATTTAACTTCTTTGTCCACTTCTTATCCCTTTTCATCTTTTCCAGGTTGTCATACGTGATACATTCGATTTTAGGGATACGTTCGTGCTCTTCGGAGGACGTGCTTTGGCTGGTTTCGTCCTGTGTCGCTTGATCGCTGTTAGCTACGTACTTCCGCAAATATACCATCTTGTTGTAACTGTGCTTCCACCTGCCGTTCTTTTGATTCTTGGCGATTTTATGCATACTCTGTTCAAGCAGCTCCTCCATCCTCACTTCCGCATCCTCGAGAGGCATCTCTAAGGGAGGCATTAAAATGTAATTGTCCTCATTGGACACAGATGGTTCAATCTTACAGGACACTTCAGAAGGATGCTTCGTAAGATATAACAAATCTAGCTGTGGCTCCTCTTCCTGAGGTTCTACTTTGTGTGGAACAGCCTCCACGCTGCTTCGTAAGTGGACTTTTCGCCCACTGCTACTGCCATGCTTACTCTTTCTGTGGCCCTTACTCTTCTTCTCCTCCGTGGTCTTCCTCGTTTTTTTGGACAGGTTCTCGCTTTCGATCTCGTCCAGCTTCAGCATCCTGTTAGTCTTCAAGTCGCGTCGCCTCATTGACGCTGTATTACACAATCAATAGGATGGGGTACGTGTGTTTACAATTGTCAGACGTCGTGACATAACCTGATACCCGTGTCCTATTAACAGACGGATGTGAGAAAACATGCGAAAATCTCGCCGATTCTGCGAATACCTGATTCATGTACTCACGTATCGCGATCAGTCACATAGTCGACGGCAGGCCCTGGTTGTGCTTCACGACGCGCTGTCACATTGCACCCCCTGAGCATTGATTTTTCCGAGATCCGGATTTCTCCGGACGCATGGCCGTCCGCTGTCCTAGGGCGGAGAAGTCGTGTGGAAACACGGTGTGCCGACCCTCGTCTCGTAGCTCGTTCAGGAAAACACGTATACGGGAAACCCTGACGTTTCTCTTCCCTGATAACGTTGGATGGATCAGCTGTTCTATGAAACGGATGCGAAAGAGAGAGACCGAACGATCTCGTTCGCCATGCCGTAGCGTCGCTTACCGTCCTCGCGTTCTGCTTTCAAGAGTAGAAAGGGCTCGATAACGGATAACGGGCCGAGGTGGCTCACGCCGCGAATCGATGAGAAAGAAAGGAAGGAAGAAAGAAAGGAAGAATATGCTCGATGTGATCTCTTTGCCTTCTCCTTCCCTCGGATAACACACCCAGACCGATAGTGCCCGGATATTCGCCTATTTTGTTTTAAACGAACTTCCTGTTTGTCGGGAAAAGAGGAGGAGGCAAAGAGATTGTGTTACTTCTTCCGATTTGCACAAATTCTTTTAATATTTATTTTCGTTATTTGTTAGATTATGAGATAAAATCACATTACTTTTTTTGAATGTATTATATGTAGAAGTTAAAAAACGAAGTTCGATGTTTAGTGCGAAAATATCTCCCCTCTCTTCTCTCCCTCTCCCTCCCTCCCTCTCTCTCTCTCTCTCCCTCCCCCCTCTCTCTCTCTCTCTCTTTCTCTCTCTCTCTCTCTCTCTCTCTCTCTCGCTTTTGTTCTCTCTTCTCCCCTCCTTCGCTTTCTCGTTCTTTTTCGTTCTCTTCTCTTTCTCTTTCTTTCTCTCTCTCTCTCTCTCTCTCTCTCTCTCTCTCTCTCTTCTTTCGCCATATATATAGTATCTTTTAAAGATTTATATTGTAGGGCTGTTAATAAAAAATGCTCTTGATATTACATTTAAAATTTTCAAATAGAATAAAAAGTCAAAATGACATCAAAATGTCACCAAATAGCACCAAAATGAATATTAAAGGTCATTTATGATCCCATCATGATTTATTTTAATGTTATTTTGACTATCATCGTGATATCGATCTTACCCAAGTAGAATACAAAAGAGTGCCATAATTAATTAAGTAATAATTAATAATATCCTACATAGAGAACGTCATTTGATACTTAAAATGAAATTATAAACGACAAATAAGGTCACGATGATGCCCATTCATTTATTAGTTCATATTATATACATAATTTCAGTGTTCTACTTCAGTGGATTCATATATACTAATGCGACACGCGGCTTATTATAATATTAATATATATGGTTCTGAAGCTACAGCTACCTATTTTATTATCGCATTATAAGAAAATTATCTAGACGATATTATTTATCTCATTAATCTATATATCTGCTATATTTTATCATATTATAGAGGCATCGACATGCACGGTACCTGTTTCTTGTGGACAACGGAAACGCGTAAAGAAAAAAGGAGAAAAAAAAGAACCGTGACCACCGTGATAAAATTTATGAAATAGAAAAAAGATGTGAAAAGCATTTGATCTTTTCAACTTTTAATTTTCTCGAGACTTTTCAAAAACGTTAAGTTAATATTTCTATAGACTTTGCGCATTCCGAACGAATCCACGTCACAACTTTGCGCGAAGCGTAAGAAACCCCCGCCATTGTCATTATATATACCCTCCCCAAAGCCCTCGATGTATAATTTCAAGAGAATCCTAAAGAGTTTATAATCACAAGATACTTAAGAATCCTTCCTTTTTATTTTACTAAAACTTCCCTTAAAATTATATACATAAACAGTCGATCTAACAAGTCCGTTGATTCTACACACACACACACATATATATGTATATATATATATATATATATATATATATATATATATATATACACAACATTATAATTTCAACGACCTTCTGCCCTCTGTCTACTCAAGTCAGTTCCTGTCAGTCTTCCTCTTTTTGTGATCGTGCCCATGGACGAGACGATCAGCATGGGCATCGTGGCAGTCGTAACCATGGCCATAACCGTGCTCCAGCACATGACCAATCCCATGGCTGATGCCATGAGCAAGGGGAGCGATGCCGTGGTCCAAGTGCACGGCGACCGGCGACGGGTGGACGTGAAGATGATCGGGTGCGTAGTCGTGCGCATAGATGGCACCAGGATGATCGCTGAACGGGATCAGCGGAAGCAATGGGGGCGGTAACGATTGCAGCGGAACCGGGATCGGCACCGGAACCGGCACGGGTACCGGATGCTTTACTGGGACCGGATACGGCTGCTGCACGGGTACCGCGATCGGCTGCTTCACTGGGATTGGCACTGGACGCTCCACGGGGATCGGCACCGCCTGAGAATTTCCCGATAGAAATTAAGGGTGACTTTTGCGACTTTTAGGCCCGGTTGCATCAATGTTACTTTGATTTTAAGCGAAACTTTGAACTCTCGCTATCTCGTTTTGAAACCGAAAAGAGACAGGAACAAAGAGTGTTTTAAGCCTCGCTTAAAATTTAAGTAACGTTGGTGCAACCGGGCCTTACCAAGCTCCGATTAACTTAACCAGTCTAGTAACCTTACAGGATTTCAACTGAAGCTGCTGTCGAGGTAAAAATGCGAACTGAAGAGTTAATACATTTACATTTACATTTATAATTTCTCTCTTCGCATTTTTTCTCCGACATCTGTTTCAGTTGGAATCCTGCAAAGTTACTGGACTGGTTAAGTTAATCGGAGCTTAGTAAAAGTCGCCCTAATAGAAAAAAGAAGAAAAAATATGAAAAATAATAACCATATTCATAGTCAGGCCTTATATTTAAGGCTTCTTTAAATTTATCTTCAGATGCTCTACAAATTATATTACTGGCTACTGAGCATCTAAAGATAAACTAAATTGACTTTATGTTCAGAATATTAGATTAATGTTTGCTCATCAATATAATTTTAATATTAAGGAATTTCCATGAGTTTACGTTGTTTTTTTACAAAATTACTACAAAAGAAAAGATGTCATTAAGACTTCGTTAAGAAAATAAAATTGACGAGACATTACCTGAGGTACCGGGACGGGAATCGGGACTGGTTTATGAACAATCTTCTCGATCGGTAGTGGCACATGATACGGTTTCTCTATGATTACCGGCTCCGGAACTGGCACCGGCTTCTCCAGCACTACGTGCTTCGTTAAATACACTGGTACAGTTTTTACAATTCCGGGTGTTAAGGCGATGCCACTTCTATAAGACGCACTTGCTAGATGTAACCTGTCGGTCGACATTTATGAATATAATGGTTAACATCATTGCCGTTTTATAGACATTCTAAGATATTTACAAAGTATATTATAATTTTTTGATGTCTATTATTCAGAATGAAGGAATATAATTTGTAAAGAAGAAAATAGTCCTTCGAAAAATATTTATTATTGCTGTATGATATTCATAAAATTTTTTGTTTGGCTAATATTTTATGTTACTTATTTTACAATGGTAAAACTTAACGCGAAAATTGTATGCAATTTAGAAATTTACTTTAAATTTTCTAAATTATACAAATCTTATTTATATATTATTTACTTTCAATATTACATACATACATTATTTTATTCTATTTAATTAGAATTATTTTAGAACATTGAAACTTAACTCGAAAATATCTATATTTTTTTAAATAAAATTTAGAAAGATTTAACTCTAAATTATTCTAAATTATATTTATATATAAATCTTGTTTAATATTTATTATTTTTAATAAGTGTATTATTTTTACCCTGCATGCGGATTAATCTCGAGAAGTTTGAGTCCTTTCCAAGAATTACGTTCGATTGATTGTCCATGTCCATAAAGACTCGATAGACCGATCCATCCGTCATTACTGATGACACCCCGTTTTTGCTGCTTCGTGTTCTTCAGCACCGATGCAAATGCACAGGTGCACAATAATGTCAGGAACAGCTGAAATGTAGCATTAACGTAAAGAAATTCCAATTTTAATAAATAAATGTCTTACAAAATTCAATTATTTAAAAAAAAATGCGTTGTATAAATTATTAGGAAAATTGGAAGAATTTAATAAAGAGTACTTGGAAGTTTTAATTTTAGAAAAATTAAGTAATCAGAAGAATTTAGAACTATAAATAATTTATAATTTTATATTCACATTTTAATTTTGATTTACACAACTTAAATGAGTAAGTGTGGCTACTTACAAAGATCTTCGACATGGTGTTCTAGTTGTGAACAAACTGTTCATAAGATTGCAACAACAGAAGCCTTTTATATTTGCGAATCGTACCAATGACGACTTAACAGGTCTAGATCAAGGAACAGAGCAAGTTCCCATTTACGATCAAATCGGAAATTTATCCTTCTTGATTGATACCCTAAGCTTCCGGTGATGAAAGTTGCCTGCGATCGATTTAGTTTGCGGTGACATTTCCAAATAATGTCAGATATATATATATAAAGCCTCGTAGCTAAAATGGAATAAGCTAATAAGCGCATCACATACCATAATAAATACTAATTTATATTAAGTCAAATTATTCGATTAATAAAATTAATTAATATTAAATTGATTAAGTTATTGATTAAAATTTGATTCATGCAGATTTATACAGAATATTGAATACTTAAACATATATACATATATCCCTTCAGACTTGATTTTAATGAAACTATGTTAAAAAAATTTTTTTTCATTCAAGAACACTTTGATTAAAGCAATTTATACTAAAAAATTAAATTTATTTAATTTTTTAGTATAAATTAAATTTATTTAATTTTTACTTTTTTCCAACATATACATTATAATGTACCTCTGGTCTGAGATAATGTTAGTGAAATTAAATAATTTTAGTTACTGTCTTCAAATGTGATATTTATTACGATGTCGCAGAGTCTGAAGGGGTCAGATATTTAATAATTAAGTTTGATATATTAAATAATACTGAATACTATTTGATATTGATGTAAATACAACCATGTCTTTTGCCAAGAACGACACCGGTTTCTCACTCCATTACGAGTTCGTGCTTGCAATGTTGACATTGCAATTACATTCGACGCGATCAAAGCACCCGTACTACTTACCTACATTCTCATATCTATTTAATTATGCCTGGAAATTCACTTGCGCGCACGTACGGTGAAAAGGAAAACGCCTAAGAATTCTGCGCGTCCTCGTTTATAGATACTATCTATTGTACATAAGCGATGGATAAACATTGATAACGTACAATTACAACAGCTAATTCTTAGTCATGATTAACCTACCCTAAATTAGCAAATTTTAAGTTGACAATATATTGTCTTTTTCAATATTATATATTATCTATAAGATTCATGAGTTATTAAAAAAAAATATATTTATTTGTAATCTTAAAGAATTCGAGGAATTGTAATTCATTTTTATACAGAACTAGAAAAAATATTGTATTTCATCTTTCTGGAAAGTTCATAAAGTAGGATTATTATCGGGAAATGCTGTGTTTTTCGAATTTTCTATCTTAAAAATGTATACGGAACATTCTTGAAATAAGTACTCGGATGATGATTATATTAGGAGTTTTCTATCTTAAGATACGTACTTTATCTAAAGAGATACATTTTCGAAGTGCATAATATATATATGGTCACATATTTTTGCCTATATGATATTAACTTTTTACAAAGTTTATCGATAGAAATAGTTGAATTTTGTAACTAAAAATCATCGTTTTAACTTTCATGACGTTAAAATAAATCATTATTTTGACTCTTGATTTGGTGTGATCTTTGGATAGACTTTTAGAAGTTCATAAAAGAAGAATTGTTTGAGTAGTGAACATTTTTTTGGTTTTTCCATAACAATATTATTTTCCTATTTTCGAATTGTCCACCAGACTGGTTTTTTTTTGTTGTTCTTTATCACCACGTACGTGAATTCTGCTAATTCGCGCATTCGTAGCTAGTAAATCTTGGTTGGTCAGCGTCATCGGGCGTATTGTTACGTGTTGGCCGGCTCTAACTCGTCGATGAATAATGAATGGCAAGTAACGTGGCCGGCATTAAGAACGCGACGGCATTAGACGCTTAGAAAATGAAAGTTAGGAAAGTCCTCGCGATTAACGCGGAAGCGAAAGAGGAAAACTCGTCTGGCTCGTTGATCGAATAGAGGACGCCGGAAGAAACCGAAGTTGCTATTTACATTTGCTGCCGCATATCTTCATTTCTTGTTGCGCAAAACTCATGAATTACATCAGCGATAATTCATGCATTAATTTGTTAAAAAAAACACTCTATATTAAATTTTTTGTACACTAGACATTTTAATCTGCATATCAAATAATAGTGTGTTAGTTAATTGCAGTAAACTTTTATTTATTATTTTCTGTTAAGAAATTATCAATGATTTATTTAACTACATTATCTGGCCTACTTTTAAATATCTTTTAAAAATCTATAATTCATATAAGATTTTAAAATAGAATTGTAATATAAATTAAAATAAATATGTAATATATCAAAAATACGCTATATAAAAATTATAAATTCTATGTAACATATAATATGTATTTTTAAAATGTTTTTTTGTATCACATAAAGCATAAAATGAAATTCTAAATAGTCATATAGATTACCTCATAAAATTAATCATAAAATTAATACATGTTTTATAATATAATTACTAATGCAATGCGCGGAGCGATTCCAATCATGTACCACTGCGTGATTGAATTGAATCACGTATCGCGCGCTATTGCGGCTATCTAACGATCGAAAGACCAAATAATTGCCGGTAAACCCCCAATTAACTACGTCACTAATGAATGCTCCAGGACTTTTCGTGCGTCTTCCATATCGCCTTCGTTCGACCTCCTAAGAGAGAAATGCAACCGCTGTTTGGCTATTGCCCAGGTTCAGGTAGCGAAAGTATATCGCTCCTTGTAATCGCTGCTCTTCTTCATTCGTGCGATGATACCCTATAAATATATATATGAGGGCCACAATTCCGGAGCGAACTCAGTTTTTCATTGGCATCCCGACCGGCAACTGAAACTCTCGAGTGACCAATCATGAGGTTCTTCCTGGTACCTATCTGAATTCTCGTTTTTATTTTGCTACACAGAAAGAACGGTTTTGCTAAAGTATTTAAAAATTTAGTTACAGATCTGAAAATAATTTTTTTGGATCATTACAATAATTACATAGAACGTTTAAATGTTGATAATAATTCTAAAAAGTAACATTTTAGTAAATATTTTAGTTTGAGTGTTTTCTATAATTATTTTGTTGGTCTAAACAAAATTATTTTCAGATCTGTAACTAGCTAAATTTATTAGATACTTCAGTAAAACCATTCTTTCCATCGCGATCGATAATTCGCGTGATTTACATTCGGATACACCGCGATAAAGAATGAAGAATGTTGAGCTAGTGATTTGTCGATCGTTTGTGTATTGCAATGGATAATTGTGCATCATTTATAATATCTTGATCTAAAGTGATTTAAACTAATCCAATACCACAATAAAAAAAGTCAGATTTAGCAATTGTACTGAAATTACGAATTGTACAAGTAAAATCTTTTTAAAACTTGTAATTAGATATACGATAAGATTTTTTTATTTTTCAAAATGTTGTCAAGTTCGAAAAATTTTCATGCCGCTTCAGACATCTAAAGATCTGCTGTTAGATTTTATATAATGAATTTATTTAAAGTAAATTGTCCAAAAATATA